GCTGCGGTCGCCTGTGCGGGGCTGGGACCCCGGTCGCCCGGGCTGGGGTGGCTGGCGAACTTGCCCTCCCTGTGTTTCATGTTCTGACAGTCAGGGTTTCTTTTTGGCTTTCTTTCCCTTTTTTCCTTTTCCTTTTTGTAGTTTATTCTTGGAGCTGTCAGTGGGCTCCGCTTTATTTTTGTGTTTGAGGGCATCTCTTCCTTCTCCCTCCCGCTAGTTGTTGTTTGTTTGTTTTGCTTTCGGAGGTTTGCCCCCCTCGTCAGGAGCGGCAGGACTGGCCGGACCAGAATAGGGCTTTCTGCACCGTAATCTGAACGGCGGGCCGGCCGGCGCCGTGGCCGTGAGGCTTTCTGTCCCCGATCTCGAGTGACCCTTGGAAAGTGACAGGTCGAGCGGAAATTTACAAAGTTGTCCGCTGGGTGACTATGAATGCGGGGCGCGGGGTGGGCGCCTCGGCCTCCTGCCCCGGAGTGCGGTGCGGTGTGTGACGGTGTCGGTGTCCCTGCGTCCACGCTCCGGCCGGGCAGGGTGCCGTCGGGAGGGAAAACTCAGCAGGCGCCGTGGGCGGGCAGCCCAGCCTTGCTTTTCCGGTGTGCGTCCTGCGGGCGACTTGAGCAGTGGGCAGGGTGGGCAGCTTCCAAAGCTAGAGAAAACTGAGTGGGAGGCCCTGTGGCTGTCCAGTGCATTATTTAAAGTTTAATTATCTTCAGTGGCGTGTAGTATAACTCACTTTTTTTAGGGTACAGTTCTAGGGGTTTTTGACAGATCCATGGCAGTCAGACTGCAAAACAATCATGTCATTTCTCAGGGTCCCTTCTGCCCTTTGCCACCAACTGTCCTCCACCTTTGGGCCATCACTAACCTCCTCTCTATCCCTACCGTTTTGCCTTTTCCAGAAAGTTAGGTCATTGGACTAAACAGCACAGAGCCTTTTGATTCTGGCTGCTGCTGCTCAGCAAAACATACCCGAGACTCATCCATGTTGTAGTGGGTATAAAAAGTAACTCCTGCCTGGCTGGTGTGGCTCAGTGGTTGAGCATCGACCTATGAACCGGGAGGTCACAGTTCAATTCCTGGTCACGGCATATGCCTGGGTTGCGGGCTTGATCCCTGTGTGAGGCATGCAGGAGGCAGCAGATCAATGATTCTCATCATTGATGTTTCTATCTTTCTCACTTTTCTCCCTTCCTCTCTGAAACGAATACAAATATATTTAAAAATAATAAAAAGTAACTCCTTTTTCTTGCTGTGTATCCCATTGGTCCCTTAGGCTGCTGGTGGCAGGACACTTGGGATATTTCCAGTTTGGAGGGGATTACATATAAAGCTGCTCTAAACATCCTCAGACAGGTTTTTATGCGAACTTGGGTTTCACTTCTCTTGGGAAATGCTTAGGAGCAGGATGGGGGTCTGGTGGGGAGGGCTGTACTGAGTGTACAATTAACACTTGTTTATCTTGCAAATTTGCATTTTTGAGCATGGGAAGAATTAAAACCACTATGACCCAGCACCCAGGCATTATATACTAAGGTGAAAATTTACCCAGAGACACTCATGCTGTTTCTATCACCTGCTTGTATTCGGGTGGAGCAAGGCCACAGGGATTTGTAAACCTTGTAAATAAGGCCTCCTGGGTTGGGACCTGGCTTTCTAGTGGCAGGTGGTTCTGAACTGCAGAGCATCGTTCCCTTGCTGGCCCTGGCCTCACTTGGCAGGGGATGGGGTGTGCTGCCCACCGGGCCTGGTGTGCCGCCTCATGTCAGCAGGTCCCTGTCTGGTGTGGCTAGTCCAGTGACATTCTCAGCTAGCTGCCGGGGCTCGCAACAGCCTTACTTTGCAGTGACGTCTGTCAATCTTCCATTTCCCACTGAGGAGTTTTGCTTTTCATGGGAACTGAGGGGGCAGTACTTATAGAATTCATATTTTGTGATGACTCAATGATGAATACATGAAGAAAGTGGGCTACGTAAGAAGCTTCACTTTTTGGAAGGTCAGATTACTCATGTGACCACACAGTTGAAATGACTGAGCTTACTTGTTCACTGAGTCATTTCTAGTGTTCCTGGGGATAGTAGACAATGTTCTTATTTTCAAGGAACTTATAGATGAAGGAAGGTGAATGATGTATAAACATAAAAGTTAGCAGAGTTATTGTAGCCCTGTGTCAGCTGAGGTTCAGAGGGGAGGAGCTACCACTCTTGTCCTGGGGGAGGTGTGAGTGGATTATCTGAGGAGGGGTGTCTGTAGGAGGAAGTGCCAACAGCCACAACGGCCACACTCAGAAGTGTCCAGCCTGGGAAACCAGCTTTTGTGCAATTGGCAAACATGAGGGGGAGACCCAGCACATTCTGTTCCTGCTGTGGCTGAGTTTCTAATACCCACTTGCAGTTCACAGTGGCATAATTTCTAAAGCAGGATGGCCCTTCTTGGGTGGGAAACTAGGTCTCAACTCAGAAGGGAGTAAATGGCATCTTGGGTTGCTGGTGGCAGCACAAGAATATTAGAGAGGAGGATGTGCAGGGGTCCTTCACCTGGGTGACTTAATAAGGCTGTGGGTGGGGGGAGCAGCCTCAGTATGACTGTCTCCACCCTCGGCTTCCTACCCAGAGC